TATCACAACGCTCCTCGATATCAACTCATCCTCAATTCGAACAGAATTGACATTAGGTTTTGTACCACTGCGTGCCGAACCATTCTTCAAGGCACGATTACGTGTCAGTATCATATTCTCACGGCGGCAAAACTCTAATATTTGCTTCTCCGAAGGGCTCCCACCATACTGTCTGATAAGCCGATCAGCCAACTCCTTCGTCAGAGCACCAAAGAGTCGTTCTACAACATCCGCGCCTTGAAGTTCTTGCTGGCGTTGACGAGAGTAAGAGTCTCGTACCTCTTGAAATTCAAGATAAAACTTCTCAAAATCATCAGCAATATTCCACCGTAAGCTCTCCCATCGATCGGCCAGGATACGGTGAGAATTAATAGACTCAAATCTCGCTCTCAGAGCAGACTCAATACACGCCGCACGAGCACTGAGGGCATAATAACCCTTGAGACCTCGCTCCTTCAACTCCTTATCGACAATGCCAGTAATAACTCCACGAACCGAGGCATCAAGACAGAACTCCAAATAATAAGCTTGAAATAGTTCCGGCATCACACCAACAGACCAACCGGGAGCACGCTTAACCGCTTGGAGAAACATATCTATCGACCTACTATCAACATGACCCATGTAAGCACCACCAGAGGGTAGTTGACTGTCCTTAGCCCGCTTGAAAGAAGCATCATGAATACGTTCTAGATCAACCGCTGAGACACCGAAATCATTCTTCAAACCATCAATTTGATCATGAATAGCACTACCAAAAAGATCGTCATTAGGTAGAGAATCGAGGAAACCAACTGATTGAAGCTTCTTCTCTACCACACCAGGATCACTCTGAGTCGTTCCAAGAGGACGTACAACTGCTCGATGAGGCATCGTAGTTACATGACTACGATTAGAAAAAATACTTCTGATAAATGAGAAGCATGACTGAGTTCGTCCTTGAATCGGAAGGTCTCTTAGACTACCCACATCACTATTTAGTCTGAGAGCAGCTACCCTCTCAGCTAAACGTAGAAGCTGTTCATCATCAACAGTTTGAGATGGCAAAACTGGCGTCGTTGACATTGGTCAGTTTAGATCCCGGTAGAATATGACGGTTATAATACAACTCAAGACTCTCAACCGTCGAAGTATACAAAGGTTCTTAGTGATAAACTTGATGACCAAGTAGATACCACAATAGAGCTTTACGCAACTTCAATGTTGTCGGGAATAACCGCAACAATAACAACCACAGCAATAAATTAATTATGAACCGGAGTCCACTAGCTTGACGCTAGGACACAATTATGGAGACTGGAGACACACACACAAAATCACAATAACTTTCCATCAATTATATCTATAAGAATGCCGTTACCGGCACACGATTTCAGAAGGATCTGCCGCATTGGCGAGAACAAACCTTTCCGCACAACCGGCACGCAGTGGGAAGCTTTTTTGCTGAGCATAAAGATTCTATCTTATGGAAATAAGAATAGTCATTCAATGTGGGTCATTAAAGATCAAAAGTGGTGTATATCGATATTCCTGACCTCCGGCTCCAACCATGCCTACCAACGCATACAAAAGTTCGAGAA